CAGTGGCTGGAATGTACTCTAACCCTGACCCCTAAGAACCAAAACTATGCTTCTTATTAAAAAACAAAACAAAGAATTTCTATCTCAGGATCAGTTCAGGGAAATAAAGATCTCTGAGATCAGGCAGGCTGGACTCAAATGCCTGTCCTTACTAGACATGTGCACCTGGACAAGTCACCTCCCTTGCGCTTAGGACAGGGTCTCAGCTTCCCATGGCCAATCAAGCCCTGTGTGTCGTGCCCCTTTCAATCCCTTGAGTCACTGGCCTTTCCTGAGTGCGCCACGCTCCTGTGGGCCTCAGGGCCTGTGTGATTGCTGTTCCTGCTGCCCGAATGGTCCTGCTCCCCTTAACCTGGTGACTCACCCTACTGACTGGGCAAGCCTCCCCTGGCTGCCCCTGGGAGAAGTCAGGTCTGCCTGGTTACACGCTTCGCTGGCACTCTGGACCTTTGCAGGTTGAAATTATTTGTCTCATTTCTTCTTACAATTAATAAGCACTTGATACCAGGTTCTACTTCAGAGATTCTGAAAATGGGTGATTTCATTTCATTCTCATGGTGCCCGCATAAAGTATGGTAAGCACCCCACTTCGTGGAAGGGGAGGCTGAAGTTCAGAGAAATTAAACAACTTGCCTGAGGTTGCACAGCGATTGAGTGTCAGAGCTCCCCTCCTAAGCCTGTCCTCGCAGGTTGACTCTGAGCTATGTGAGGGTTGATGCACATCGGGTCGTTGTTTTATGTATCCCCAGGGCTGAGTGCCTAGACCCACTGAATTACAGGTGACTGCAAAGCACTGATGACCTAAAAGAGACAGCACCGCAGTAGCAACAAGCACTCCTAGTGTTCAGATCTTGGTTTCTAATACCATTCTCTAATCAGAGGAACCAGACTCGGAGAAACGGCTGCTTCTAAGATTGGGATCAGGAAATACATATGAGAAGAATCTGCAGTCTTGCAGTGCTAGAAAGTAAGGAAGTCCCCCAGAAAAATCAAACAAGCAAAAAAAAAAAAAAACACCAAACAAAACACATTTATAGGAGTGTGTCAAAAACCAAAGGTGGAGCATTGAAACATGTATATTATCTAGGGTGAAACAGATAACCAGCCCAGGTTGGGTACATGAGACAAGTGCTCGGGCCTGGTGCACTGGGAAGACCCAGAGGGATCGGGTGGAGAGGGAGGTGGGAGGGGGGACTGGGATGGGGAATACATGTAAATCCATGGCTAATTCATTTCAATGTATAACAAAAACTACTGTAATGATGTAAAGTAATTAGCCTCCAACTAATAAAAATAAATGGAAAAAAAAAAACCAAAGGTGGGCTTCCCTGGTGGTCCAGTGGAAAAGAATCTGGCTGCCAATGCAGGAGACATGGGTTGGATCCCTGGTTTGGGAAGATCCCAAATGCCAAGGAGCAGCTAAGCCTCTAGAGCCACAACTATTAAGCCCTAAGTACTGAAGGCCGCACACCCTAGAGCCTGTGCTCCAGGACAAGAGAAGTCACTGCAATGAGAAGTCTGTGCGCTATAACTAGAGAAAAGCCTGCAATGAAGACCCAACACAGTCAAAAATAAATAAAAACAAAACAAAGGAGCCAACTGAAAGGGCTCCCAATGGCCAATGCTGGAGCAATTTGAGCAACAAAATAAAGTAGTATTGGGTTATAATCCAGAGTATAAATAAATACTCAGGAAGCTATAATGATCTAATTAAATGACTGGATAAACTAATAAACAGGGGGAGAAGAGGTAAGCCTTTCATGCAGAAGGATTCCAAGTTATTTATGTAGATATCCACCCTTAAGGAGGAGAACACACATGTCCACTCTCTATGTGGGCTGCATATAGTGACTTCCTTCCAAAGGAAAAGGAGAAAAGTGACTTTACAGTGTAGAAACCTGACAAATACTAAGTCAACCAGGTGATGAAGGCCAACATCAACATGCATAAATAAAGTTGATAGTACATATCCTTTTTTTAAAAAAGAATTCTCTTACTTTCTTTTATTTTGGCCTCACTGCTCCGCCTGTGGGATCTTAGTTCCCTGACCAGGGATCAAACCCAGGCCCCCTAAATTGGGGGAACAGTGTCCTAACCACTGGACCACCAAGGAAGTCCCCAATTATATGTATCCTTGACATGGTATGATGAAAATGACCCTTTATCTCTTTGGTCTTCCTCCCTCAAACCCATCATTCCAGGATTACCACAAGAAATATACCAGACAAATGCCAATAGAGGAGCATCCTACCAAATATTTGACCAGGTCTCTCAGAACAATTAAGATTATCAAAATCAAGGAAAGTCAGAGAACCTGCCAAAGCTAAAAGGAGACTAAAGAGACAGGACAACTAAGAGACTGGATCTTAAAAGTTCTCATCACAAGAGGAAAAAAGAAATCTAAGTGTGGTGATGGATGTTAATCTTTAACTATCTTATTATGGTGATCACTATGTAATATACACATGCATTAAATCATTATGCTGTATACCCCAAAACCAATGCAATGTTATATATCAATTATCTATCTCTTTTTAGAGAGAAGATAACAAAGTGTAATGTGGTATCCTAGATGAGATTCTGGAAGACAAAAAGAACATTAGGTAAAAACAAAGGAAATCAAAACATGAACTAGGGTTGACAAGAATATATCAGTCATGGTTCATTAAGTATAACAAATGTGTCCTACTAATGAAAGATGTTACAAATACGGGAAACTGGGTGTGGGTAAAAAAGTAACTGTTTTCTGTGCAATATTTCTGTAAATCTAAAATTCTTCTAAAAAGTAAAGTCAAAAAAAAAAAAAGTAAAGTCTACGAATGATAGCAATGATAAAGCATAGATGAATGATCACAATACTTCATTAATCATCATGGTGACAATGACTACAGCTCTCTTCTTACATTGCTATTGTGAGCACTCTGTAGGACCAACATAAAGCATTTAGCATGAGTGATAGCTCAATTCCGGAGAAGGCAATGGCACCCCACTCCAGTACTCTTGCCTGGAAAATCCCATGGATGGAGGAGCCTGGTAGGCTGCAGTCCATGGGGTTGTTAAGAGTCGGACACGACTGAGCGACTTCACTTTCCCTTTTCACTTTCATGGATTGGAGAAGGAAATGGCAACCCACTCCAGTGTTCTTGCCTGGAGAATACCAGGGACAGGGGAGCCTGGTGGGCTGCCGTCTATGGGGTCGCACAGAGTCAGACACGACTGAAGTGACTTAGCAGCGGCAGCAGCAGCAGCATAGCTCAATTCAGAGCACTGCACTTGTCACCATTCTACGAAATCTATGCCATCCACTATGGAAGCCATGAGCTCTACATGACAAAATTTAAATTAAGTAAAAATTAAATCAATGGAGTTCTTGTGGCAAGAAAACTGGAGTGGTTTGCCATTCCCTCCTTGTTTTGTCAGAACTTTCCACTATGACCCATCCATCTTGGGTGGCCCTGCACAGCATAGCTCAAAGCTTTATTGAGTTAATGCAAGCCCCTTGACCACAACAAAGCTACAATCCATGAAGCTCCAATACTTTGGCCACCTGATGTGAAGAGCAGATTTCACTGGAAAAGACTCTGATGCTAGAAAAGATTAAAGGCAAAAGGAGAAGGGTGTGGCAGAGGACGAGATGGTTAGATAATATCACTGACTCAATGGACATAAGTTTGAGCAAACTCCAGAAGATACTGATGGACAAGGAAGACTGGTGTGCTGCAGTCATGGGGGTTGCAAAGAGTCGGACACAACTTAGCAGCTGAACAACAACAACAAAAATTAAGTTCATTAAATGCTCAGTTCTTTAGTGCTACCAGCTACATGTCAAGGACCCAGGAGCCACATAGAGCTCGTGGCTATTAAATTTGGCAGTATTGATTTTAAAAAAAATGCCCATGAGCACAGTGTTCTGTTGGACAACATTGCACAAAACAATAAATGGCATGATTGTTTGTTCAGTGTTCTTGACTCCTTCAGGTCGTTCTGCAAATCTTAACCTTCTCAACCTTCCTGACAGTCCTCTTTCAAACTGCAACCCCCACCCCCACCCCACATACCCCATGCCCAATTTACTTTTCAGTCTTACCACTTGCTGTGGAATCCACTTAATTTCTTTCCTGACTACCCATCTAGCACTATGTGGTTCAATGCTGTAGTCGTTGGTAACCAGGGCTCTTGAGCCCTTGAAACACAGCCAGTCCAACTTCAGGTGTGCTGTGAGTGTAAAAGACATACAAGATTCCAAAGGCATATAGAGAAAAGAAAAGAAAAGAAAAAAAGAACGTAAAAATATCTCATATATTTTTACATTGGCTACAGGCTGAAACAGCATTTTGGACATAAATTGGGTTAAATAAGATCTGTTATTAAAATTAACATCACCTGTTTCTTTTTTTTTTTTTAACATGGCTACTAGAAATTTTAAATTATGCATGTGGCTAACATTTGTGGTTGCCTTTAATTTCTCATGGGCTTCCCTGGTGGCTCAGACGGTAAAGAATCTGCGTGCAATGCAGGAGACCCGGGTTTGATCCCCCGAAAAAAGAAATGGTAAGCCACTGCGGTATTCTTGCTGGAGAATCCCCATGGGCGGAGGAGACTGGAGGGCTACAGTCCATGAGGTCGCAGAGTCAGACACGACTGAGCAACTAATACTACATTTCTCATGGACAGCATCAGTCTAGAATGTCAGCCAAATAGAGGCAGGTATTTTCACCTATTCGCTGGCGATACAGAGATCGGCACATAGTAGGCGGTCAATTAAATTTTAATGAACGGACGTTAGGCTGAGCCTCTGGGGACCCGTTAGCTCTAATAATCAACACAGATGGAACACTGACCACGTCCCCAGGTCCGCCTCCTCACTACACCAGATAAGGAAACTGAGTCCGGGCGAGGTGACGTAACCCCAACCCAACGGCACGTAGTGCGGAAACGTCGGGGCCGGGATTCGAACCCCAGTTCTGTCACCGCAGCCCAGGCGCGCTGACCGTTCCTACCTTGTAAATTGGTGACGGCGGCCGAGGCGGCGGCGGGATAAACAGGCGCGAGACACACACCATACCCAGGACAAGGGGAGCGGCTCTTCGGCCGCCGCCTCCCGTCGGCCTCCGTGGGCCAGGCCACAGATGGCCCCCTCCGCGGCCATCGCTGGCCACCCGCGTCTCTGCCTGCCGCCGAGCTCTCCTCAGGCGGCGCCAGCCGGAAGTCCCGCCCCCGCCGCGCGCCCCGGGGCGCCGCGACAGCAACGCGGGCCAATGAGAAGCGCGCCGTGGCGAACGCCGGCCAATGGAGGCGACAGGCCCCGGGCCGGATTCCTGGGCTGCCGCGAGGGCCGAGGTAGGGGGTCGCGGCGTGGGCACGCGCCTGGCGGCCGGGCTCCGCGGCCGGGTCCGGGTAGCCTTGCAAGCCGGGTATCCGGGGGCGGGAGAGCGGAGCCAGAGGCAAGGGAGTGGCGTGAGCGCCCTCAGCTCTCGGAGGTCACGGTCCCTGGGCTCGCTCCCCCGGGAAATCCTACACAATCTTTTGTAGCGGCTGTCAGAGGACCGCGGTGGATCTGAGGTCTCTTAGAAGTGTACAAACCCTTCGGGTATGTATGAGAACCCTAGGGGAAGAAAGAAAAATATTTTTTGAATACCGTCTCTAACAAAACAGTTTCTGGAGTGTGGGACGTAAATCTGTAAATTGTGTGTGTGTTGAAAACACAAACTGCACGCAATTGAACAATGGGGGATGGATGCTCTTCCTTTTCCGGCGTCCTCTGCTGCTAGGCATATTAAAAATGGGTACTGATACCCACTGTGTGCAGGACAGGTGGAGAAGAACTTCTGCAGGTGCCACCCCTGGAGGAACAGAACCCCCCCTCACAGAGAGTATTCATGGGCGATCTGAATAGCCACGGCTCCAAAAGTGGGACGTTGGGGAGGCGGATTCTCTCGAAAAGCGTTTCTCAACCTTGGCACTACTGATTTTGGGTCTGATCATTCTGGGTTTGGGTGGGGGAGGGGCTGTCCCTGGCCTCTACCCACTTAGATGCCAGCAGTATCTTATTCCTCCAGTTGTGAAGATCAAAAATATCTTCAGAGATTCCCGGAAGTATCACACACATACTCACACGTGTGAGAATCACCCCTGGACTAAAAGAATGATCTTCCACTAGAAGTACCCCTAGCCCTATCTCTGATTCCTTAAAATCCAGAGTTCCCAAGACGTTGGACAAATTACTGTGGGAGCCTTAGTTTGCTTATCTGTAGAATGGGATGGATGAGACGATTGCTGTGCAGATTTAAGGATTTGGGAAGCCCTAGCATCCTGCGTGACCTGTGCCTGAGGAGACACTGAATATATAATGTTATAAATAGTCCACCATATTTAGTGAGGATTTACCATGTGCTATCCATGGATGGACATTGATCTACAGCCCTTGAGGTGGGTGCTGTCTGTTGTAATTTCCGTTTTAGGAACAAACCCAGGCTTCAGTAGGTCGCTTAGTGAGACCAGTCTCACACAGGAAAGTGGCTAATGGCAGGATTTGAACTCAGGCACTCTGATTCAAGAGTTCTTACTTTTAACAGCTGAGTTTTACCACTCTTATAATCCCAGCATCTGGGGGACCTGGAGAGACGTTCCATTCACGTATCACTGAGCATCTTCTGTGTGCAGAGCTTTGTGCTAGGATCTGTTATAAAATTGTTTGACTTAAAGACCCATGAAGAAAGCAAGATATATGAACATCTCAAAAAATGGAACTAAATCATATTTATGTTGAAGAGGCAGAGTTTTGGATTGGCTGTGTTGAGTGTGAAGTCGTGGGGCAGCAAGTGGAAAATGAGAGGTTTATGAAAGTACCATACTCCTAAGGCCCTGCTTTTGTCTCACTCCTGCCTCCCATCTCTATCAAGATCTGATTATGTTAATATTCCCGATCAGGAGTCTTTGGGTGGAAAATAAATTAATTTTTAAACCTTTTTAGGTGGCTTAAAAGCTAAAGTCGGGGATCCTTTGCACATTCTAATCCCCGCCCTTCCTTTCTGATTTCGCCTGCACATAGGCCCCAAACTCCGACCCTCACTGCCCATTGCCCCCACTTTCTGTAATACTGTTCTCCTCCACCTGGAGATCTTTTCCTCATACTGTGTGGCCCAGGTCGAAGCTCACTTACCATATGAAGCCTCCCCAGACTGCTGCTCTTTCTCCACCCTCACCAGTCAACTGTTCCCTCACTCCTGTCCCCATCTCGTTCAACGGAATCAGATTCATGCTGAATGGTGAAAGAAGTGTAGTCCCCTCCTTTCGCCTCTAGGTGGCAGTAGCCAAGCGGCAAGGCCAACCTGAGTAGGGGGAAGAGCAGAGGAAACCAGCCTGTGGGAGGGAAGTTAGTTTTGCTTCCCTCCTTTAGCTGACTCTCTGCACTCGGCTTCTGAGTCCCAGGCCCTGTTCTAGGCTCTGGGGAGGCACTGGTGATTGCAGTGAATGCACAGATTGTTTCAGCCCACTCCGTTGAGCGTGGTAATTATGGCTAAACGCTTGCTGATGTGGAAACACAGAAAAGGGAACTGTTAACCTAGCCCTGGTGGGCAAAGGTAATCACTGTCCTGGAGGAGGTGAAACAGGAGGGGAGGGGTTATCCAGGCCTGGACTGTGGGGAAGGGCTTGGTAGGATGCAGGAACCACACCAGCCAAGGCATGGAGGTGGGGATGTCTTGGTTTGTTCAGAGACCCACACGGGGTCTGGTAGTTCAGAGGCAAGAAAGGTGAAGTGAGTGGTGGTAAGAGGACTCTGATAGCTGGTGTGCAGAGGGAAAGGGTGTTGTCCTGCAGGCCAGGCCGAGGGGGGCTGTCTGACAGTTTCATTCCACAAAGCGAAGGGGTCAGGTCTGCACATAGGACAAAGAGTCAGAGGAGAATATTGCTGAAAGCCAGCAAACCACTTCGGAGGTGATGACTTTCCTATAAATCAGAAAGGTCACAGATATGACCCAGGGCTGTGGTGGTCTGGAAATAGGGGGTGGGTGTGAGACCCGGTTAGCGGGTAAAGGACACAGGGCTCAGTGGGTGTTTAGCTGTGGGATGTGAGAAAACATTGGGCAATGATTCTGCGCCCTGCCTGAGTACCCAGTAGGTGGATAACGGTCACTCAGAGAAACAGAGAAGACAAGAGAAGGAGCAGTTTAGCATGTAGACACAGGAAAAATAGCACATCACTTGAGTAAGATACGTGTAAGATACAGACCGGAAGTGGGGAGGTGGCAGAAGGTAGCGTCCTGTCTGGATGTATCTATGGGACTCGCTCATCTGCTCACTGCCCTTCCTCACTTGACCCAGAGCTTCGTGGGCACTGGCCAAGTCAGTGAGCACAGTTTTATAGACTGAACACGTGAAACCTTACTGTTGGCTCATTGTTGTGGGACACAGGGAGGAGTGGGAGAAATTGCCTCCTTGAGGAATTTACAACCTGAACTGGGGAGAAAAGACATAGATGTGTGAGATTAAAGTAATGATAGGAGGAAGCCATGGGTAGTGACAGCCTGGAGAGCTTTGAAAGAAATGCTTTTTCCTTACTTGGGGTTTGTTCTTGATGAAAGAGGCGGTATCCAAACTGGTCATTGTCATCAGAGAGGCGTGGGCAGCTATTTCCAGGTGCCGCCAGCAGTGTGAGTAAGAGAAAAGGTGAATGCAGAGAAGTCCGGAACCCTGAGGGGACCGGTTTGGGCAGGCAGAGGGTCAAGAAGGTGGACTTGGACATGAATCTAGAGAAGTATGCCAGGATCAGGTGATACAGGGTTTCTCAACACAGTCAAGAAGTGAGTTTGGAAAAGCACTTTTCTTTTATTCCTTTTTTTTCCCCCAGATATTTATTTGTTTATTTGGCTGTGTCAGGTCTTACTTGCATCATATGGGATCTTTAGTTGTGGCCTGTGAACTCTTTGTTGTGGCATTTGGGATTTAGTTCCCTGACAGGGATTGAACCTGCGCCTTCTGCATTGGAAGCGTGGAGTCAGCCACTGGGCCACCAGGGAAGCCCTGAGAGTAAGGACAGACAGACCAGTCAAGAGACTTTGATAGGACAGAAATGGCCCAGCACTCACCTGAGGGTCGGGACTGGGACTACTGTTTTGTCTTCTACACCCACTGCCTTGCTCGTGCTGGCATGTGATTGCACTCTATGTGTGCTGGGGGAAAGAAGGGTTAGAAGGGAGCTCAGAGGTGACTGGATCCCGCCACCTGTCAGGAAGACATTTGTGCCAGAGGAAAGACTTACAGGAGAGGAAACAGCGCAGAGCAGCCCAATGGCAAGACCGATGTCACCACGAACAGAAATCAGGAGACCGAGGAACAGGAGTGAACTGGGGGGAGAAGGCCTAACGATGCTTGGTGTGAAATAATCACGTGGCAGGAGACTGGATAGGAGTCAGTCTGCCCAGAAGGTGACAGGGACCTGAACAGGGACAGTGGTAGAGAGATGGGGGGAGAGTGAGGCATCTCAGATGCAAAACCAGCAGAAACTGGTGCTCGCTTAGGTTTGGGGGATGGGAGAGGTGGTCTGAGGGACAAGTATGTGTGGGTGCCACCAGATGAAGTGATTCAGGAGGAGGGGAAGGTTTGAAGAGGGGGGCAAGAACAGAAGGAGGTGTGAGGACGCTTGCACTGCAGGTGGGGAGGGCGGGAAGATGTGCTCACCTTGACTTTGTTGGTAAAGTCAGAGTGAGAAGACGAAACTTGAATTTCGAGATTCATGTTGCTGGTGAACAGAGGAGGAGACCCGCCAATTCGTCTCAGGATATATATGTCATTGATGCGTGACTGACCACGGACTACCACCGATCTCTTCTGTGTCCCATGGGTGCTTGTGATCCCTGGCTGCTGGAACGCACCGTGGCTTCCATTTAACTCAGGCCCATTAGAAATGGCCTCAAAAGTGCGGATCATTTCCAGGGCCCCAAGTGGAAAGGGTCAGTGTGTTCCTTAGTAGGTGCTCACCACGTGTCAGGAACTGTGCTGAGAACTGAAGCAGGGGGTGACACCTCAGTTTGCAGACAGGCAGATGGAAGCTCCGGGAAAGGAAGTGATGTCCCTGACATAGTTCAGCTGATGAGCAGTAAGGTTAATGTTGGAGCTCAGGTC